TATCATTTTCAAACTCTATTGGGGAAATACGTTTCTATTTCTAGTTTTTAATCTCAAATAATGTTTCATAATATTAGTCATCATTTGATATTGCAATTTTGATAATGCCTAAGTCACAAAAATGCATCCATTTTACCTGTCATCTTAGAATGTGGAATTGAACTCTGCAGTTGAAATGAGAAAAGGTATTATACTACAGTATTATTCTTTCTATTAGGAATTGTAATTGTCAAAGTTTCGCTAAAAGATCTTGAAAATATTGGTTTGAGTTATTTTAAAAGTATAAGCACAATTTAAAGAAATGGTTTTTATGGTTTAAAAAGTATTTGGAATTGGTATAGCAGAGTTGAAAAAGCTGTTTCCTAAAGCACAGCTCTGTAGATACTATAGCAATGAAATCTGCCAAAGAACTAGGCAAATCAAATGTTTTAATCTGCTGGAAAGTGCTGTGAGCCAGATGAAAATGTTCCAGTGACTGAAACTTTTAAAAACAAGACATTGCCCTTGGAATAGTTGCATGATGTTAATTTATTTTTATTATTCTGCATGTGTCACTCGCATTTGCTACTGTGGGTGGAGAGGTGCTATTTAAAGAACTTCAGTTAAAGAATAAAGGGTTTCAGCTTGTGTTTCACTGTGCCAAGCAGCAAGGCACAAAGACAGAAAACTAACAGACCCAAGATCCCACAGATTTTACCCTTGTAAAACAAAGAGTGTGTGTGTGTGTGGGGGGAAGGCAAACGATAGCAAGATGGAAATCAAGGACTCTGAACATATGTTCTTCTTTTAAAAATGCAGTTTTCACTATGTCCTTTTTGAGCAAATTCCAAATATGTCATCATACTGGTATTGCACTGTTGAATTTCCCACTTCCAAGACTAATGGAAGTGGGAAATGTGCCATCGCTCATTTTCTGAGAGAGAATTTAGCAACTGCATGCAGATTTGCAGTCTTGTTTTAGCGTTTTGATCTATGGTCAGTTCACACCACCCTTTGGGGTATAATGAAGTAAATGATGGAGTCCTGAGCTGTCATTTGTATGTGTTGAAGCAATAGCTGGAGGATTTCATAATGAGAAAATACTGTAAATCTGCATGCAGTTGCTAAATTCTCTCTCAGAAAATGAGTGGTGCATTCTGTGCTTGTTGTGGAAACAGAGACAATACATGAAAGAAACAGCTTTGTAGTAGTTGCTGAACATATGGTTTTGACCAGCTTGCGGTGCAGTCACCACCACAGTGCTGCTGTAATTTCCAGGACTGACAATTCTCTATAAGACCCTTAACAACTGCAGTGTAGATGCACATCAGTGTGGCAAAATGTTTCATTGTGTTTGTGACTGTAGGGCCATAGGAAGAGAGCCAGTGAGCATAAGAATATCAAGTGACTAGAATAAACCTGAAAACAATTTGCATGCTGCACTGTCTACATCTAAAAAGCCAACCTGCCTTCAGCATCATCAGCCATGTGAATTTGATACATTAATAACAGCATATGTTAGAGCTACTCACAAGAACTTGATGCACAGCTTTGAAGAAGATGATTTATCATTGAAAGCTTGCTGTTTGTTTTTATTTTTGTATACTCTTAACATCTGACTAAATGTGTGAACAGCTCCAGGAGAACAGGTGATTTGTGCTGTGGTTTGATAAAAACTACAGTTTCCTCGAAAATAAGACCTAACCTGAAAAGAAGCCCTAGTATGATTTTTCAAGATGCTCGTAATATAAGCCCTACCCCCAAAATAAGCCCTAGTTAAGTGAAACCCTGCCCTCCATCATTGTGCAGCAACCAGAAGATGATATTACAGTACTGTATTTGAATAAATATAGATTGTTGTACATGAAAAAAATCCCCCAAAGTAAGCCCTAGTGCATTTTTGGAGCAAAAATTAATACAGTATAAGACCCTGTCTTATTTTTGGGGAAACACAGTGTGAAGGCGAGAAGGCTAGTGTGCCGTCCTCTGTAGAGCAGAAACCCGAAGAGAGCCAAAGTTGTGTGGAAGGGGTGTTAGTGGAAATAGAGCCGAGTGTCATGGGATGGAAAGGGTCTGTGGAGGTGTGTCTAGCAGAAGATAAGGGGGAGGAGCAGGACCTAATTGTGTGAGAAGAGGTTATAAATGAAGGGGGGAATGCGCGGGAATTCAGGATTTTGACCGATGGGGAAGTACCAGAGAAGAAGGAACGTGCGGTGCAAACCGAGCTGAGTGGAGATTTCGGAGAGTGGCATGGACTTATGAAGGACTTTCCTAATCTCCAGCTTGGAGGTAGGTTGTTGCCTGATCTGAAGGATTACCACGCGAAGGGAGAAGGGCTTGAAACCTTAGAATGGACCGTGGTTGTGTACTCACGCAATCAGCATGGGGGAGGGAGGGTGATCCGTCCCAGCCCCTTTTCCCCACCAACCACATGAGGGGGATTGGGCAAGACACCCCTGTTGTGGGACAACCTGTGCCGTGAGGAGTACTCCACTGAGGCCAATAACGGACAGAGAGCAGTTTGGTCCGGCTCCTCTGTAAGGAGTGATTTGTTAACTCCAGATGTTAAGGTTAAAAGTTGTAGAATACTACTGGAGTTGAGTTTGATTGATCCCTTTGAAACTGTTGAGTTAAGTTTGTTGAATAATAAAAAGAAGAATGTTCAAACTTCAGAGATGCCTCCGACCATTTTTCCCACTCAAACTCAGGGGCCGCCAGAGCAGAGTCAAGAACCCGATCACACACGGTAATTAAAACTCTAGCAGACCAAGGGAAAAGAGATAAGAATGTGTGAAGAGCTCCAGAAGCAACATCTTTTTTTTTATTTAGTCTCTTTACAGTAATTAAAAGTCAGCACTTTCAGTAGTGCTGAAAGTTGTAATTGTTATAACTGCAAATGGCTTTTGTGTCCAAAATGATCATTTCCCCGTTTACTGCCTTAAAAGAAAAAAAAAGAGGGCAAGACAAAAAAAAGCAAACAATACATTTAGGAGAAAATGCAACAAAAAAGGTTAACTTTTAAATCTACACGTACCAGAGCTTGCAAAAGTTACTTTTTGGGAATACAACTTTTTGAATTCTTCAACTATAGCCTCTGTCAATCTGTGATTTGTAGTCTAAAAGGGCAAATTTTCAATATATGGATATACAGGTTATTTAGCATATGTCCTATAGGTATGCTGTCCACATAAGGACAAAAACGATGCTGAGATCTAAAAAGCACCAGTATCACCTTTAAAAGCACAAGAATGAGAATGCCTGAGAGAATACTAAGGTCTTTATCTAGTGCCAGGAAGACGACCATACCATCGATGCTAGGTGGGATGTCAGGCCCACTCTGAAAAGGCTATCTTGAAAAACCAGTTAGCCTAGTCCAGAGCTATGCTCTGTTATGTGGAGTAGACACTTGTAGTACAAAATGAAATGCAATAGTCAGCTATTGCTGCTTGATAGCACAGAGGTGAGGAGTTTGGTTCCTCACTGTGCATTATAGAAGAGTCTACTTGTATGACCCTGGGCAGTCTATACAGTGGTAGGGGACTCTCTAAAGAAGGGGATGGTTCTGAGTGTGCTACATCTAGGAAACCCTGGACAGCATCACCATAACTTGGAATTGACTTGACAAAGTGTAATTATTATTAACCAGTTATTCAGCCTCTTACACCTTACATGCTTTCTGATTCTGGGAACTCTGGAAGCCAATGGTACTACCTATTGGAGTATTATTTGCAACTTCACAAGCTGTCTGTAGTTTGTGTGACTGGGAGGCACTTTTCTGGGATTGAATGATTGTCTATCCAGCACTAACCAAATGTTCTGTCCAGGCTTTGTGATGCTGAGTGATGTTTCCCTCTTATTAATCTGTTACTTCAAATAGAGCCCAGTCTCTCTGTTGAGTGATGTTTCCCTCTTATTAATCTGTTGGAGGCAATTGTTTGTTTGTTGTTGATCTGTTCAGTTTATTGCTAAGTAGACATGTAGAAAGTAATGTAGTATACATTAGTCATTAATTTCAAGCAATTGTAAATAAATAAATGTTTTTACTCTTCTTACTACAAATGCCTGAGTAAGTTACTGAAAAATTTAATGCCAGTTAATGAGAAAGGGCTGGGGAAGTTGTAGCTATTCTCCTCTGTGATGCTCTGTACATGTACTGTGTAGCACGAGGAATTTCACCAGAAATTCAAAATTCTGCAACACTGTTATGATGTCTTTGTGAGTAAAGGCCCCTCAGTACAGCCCATGCTACACATATTGTTAAGATCCCTACTACATATATATTTGTATCTTGGCGACAGTGACATAAACTATTAATGTAATAATAAATATTGGATATGAAAAGGCAGATTACCAGATGTGTTTGTGTTTTTGTAAACAGAAACAGTTACCTCTTTTTATTTATTATTTCTGTTGAAGCCTAATTTTGAAAGTCTGAGATAACACAGTTGCTAAGAGCATTGTTGAAAGCAGAGATCCATATGGAGCTTCTTTTGGATTTTAGAGAAAGATTTTGACAATATGGTAGAAAGTTAGAATTAAAAAGTTAAGTTTCATGGGTTGATGAATGATCCACTGGGTAAGGGTACCAGCCACTGTTATGGTTGTTTCAATGCTTGTTTCAGAGCAGTCCTAAAACGGTATCACTGGCAACTATGGCAGTACAAATAGCTGCACACAGTAGGAATCAGAAAATGGAACATTTTGAGCATTAATTAATCTTAAATTTGCATTCACATGGCTGCTTCATGCGTTAGACAAGGATAAGTTACTGTAGTAATGTCTGACTAGAGGAGGCTTGAATACTCTTGCATGCTTGGTTGATGACATAAAGCATAACACTTCTCTATCATAAAATGGATTCCTGAACGTAGAATAGAAATTAAGCAGAGGAAAAATATAGTACTTATTTTTTTCACAGTTTGGTCACAATCTTCAAAAGATGACTTTTCCTACCAATGAGAAAAAAAATTCAGTCTTTTTAGGTATTCCGTCTATAATTCTTGGCTCATAGACAGCTGGGTCTTGAAGATGATAATTCTGACGTTCTGTTTTCGAGAAAAGGACCTGCTTCTTCGCTTTTAAATGAAATGGTTACAACTGGAGGAGATGACCTGCAGCTCACACATCTATAAAAGACAGATCTGGTGAAACAAACGAATGCCAGCCATGTTTTGTCTTGGTTGCTTCTAGAGACCTCTGGGGTTTTCCGAAACCAAAATGCAAAAACCGTTTTTATGAGCGATTGCACTGCAAGATGGTTACTGCAGTTGGGCATCAGGCTGGAGGAATGGGAGAATTTCCGGGTGCGCCGCAGTCCCCGTTCCTCTTCATCAGACAGGATCCTTGTTGTGAGAGGGTTTGTTTCCAGCCGGAGTCCATTTCTTTCGCGTTGGCGTCTGGTGTCCTGGAGACCGATAAGAAAAAAAGGAGGAGTAGGGGCGGCGGCAGCGGCAGCAACAGCAGCAAGAGTTGACAGGATGCTGAATGCCGATCGTCTTTCTCAGTCGGGGCTGGAGTATCTGGGTGAGGCTCGGACGGGCGCGGCATGCGAGGCGGCAGGTGGCTTCCTGCCGTC